GCGACCTCTCTCCTCTGTGTCATAGAGGCTCCCTCCCGAGGTGTCTCTGCCCTTCGTCCTCAGTCCCTTCCTGTCCCCTTTCCACGAAAAGCTTCTCGTCTGGCCTGGCACTGTCCCCAGAACCTACGTCTTTCCTCTAAGACTGTGGTTCTCAACCTTCCTAATGTTGCGACACTTTAATACAGTTCCTCATGTTGTGGTGACCCCCAATTTCATTGTTACAAATTGAACATAATTAAAGCATAGTGATTAATCACAAAAACAATATGGAATTATATATGTGTTTTCTGACGGTCTTAGGCGACCCCTGTGAAAGGGTCATTCGACCCCCAAAGGGGTCGTGACCCACAGGTTGAGAACCGCTGCTCTAGACAGTGATTCACATGACATAGTAGAGGCCCCCCTTTTCGTTAAGCCCCTCTTTTTGGCACCCCTCCCATTAAGAATCAGGACTTGGGGTGGGAGCACAGTCACTGGCGTGAGGGTGTTGGTGAACCTTTGCTCCGTCGTCTCTTTCCATTCAGGCCATTCTTATCCTGGCTGCTCCCATAGCACCCCGCTACCAGCTGGCTGCTCACTGCCTGCGGATCACCCTGGGCTCCTTGCTGAGCCCCCGGGGCCTCTGTAATCTGACTTCCCTTTTGGGATGTTCTTCATCTCCAGTTGTGACTTGCGAAAGAGGTTCCCCGCTCTGCAAAGGCAGGAATGAGAGGATACGCTCTTGGTGGATGAAATGCATGCCTTTAAAAGGCCAGGTTGGACAGTAATACTGATCTCTTTGTTTGTGAGGCACTATTGCCTGGTTATTTTTTGCTGTAAGAAATAAACAATGTAGCAAAAACTTAGTGACTCCTGAGTCTGCAGATGGTGGCTGGGCCCTGCTCACAGGTGTAGGAAGGCTCGGCCCGGGAATCCATTTCCAGGATGGCCCACACGGTCGGCTGTGTGCTGAGAGCGCCCCCAGGGCTGCCGGCCAGACCTGGGCTGCGGTTCTCCTCCCTGCGGGCCTCCCCTCGGGCAGCATGGGCTTCCCCACCGCTGGCATCTGGGTCCCGAGAATGAGTGTTCCGAGGACGCAGAAGTCACTTGTCTCCAGGACCTGGGCCCAGACGCAGCCTCATTCTCGCTGTGCTGTTGGTCTCAGAGCTCACCCAGGTTCAGGGGCCGGGGGCACAGATACGCAGCCCCCTCCCTCTCCGTGTCAGGAGAGTCAGAGAATGGGGGGCACCGTTGACCACCACGTCCTAACAGTGTCCCCTGTGACTTCCCTCAGCCCTGACGGCCGCTGCAGGACGCGGGAAGCTGGAGGTCTGCGAGCTGCTGCTGGAGCACGGAGCGGCCGTGTCCCAGAGCAACAGGAGAGGCATCCCGCCGCTGTTCTGTGCAGCACGCCAAGGGCACTGGCAGGTACCCCGTGGGCCCTGAATGCTTCGGGAACGATGGATGGGGACAGAGCTAAACTCTCGCAGATCGCTCCCCGGCCCCATGTGGCCAGTGCTCTTGCTTCTGCTGGTGCTGGTGCTCTCTATACCACCTGCCAGCAAAGGTGTGCATTTGACAGGCAGCCGGGTGGGCAGCGGCCAGGAGCAAGGCTGATCACCAGGTTGGAGACCACAGAGGCTTCCTGGTACCTGGGCCGGGGCAATGGAGTGGGTGGCTCCCATTATAACAGAAGACTTGCTGTGATGGGTCTGTTGTTGGTGTGATTGTTCGCCCGTTCGTCCAACATCCCGGAGGAAGAATGGTTCTCTCGTGCTCTGTGGAAAAGCACACGCTCCCTTTGCCCAGCACTGCAGGTCAGCCTGGTTTCTGTCACTGTGTGTGAATGGCTCACTGTCCTTCAGCAGCGTTCAGGCATCTGTTCCTTCATTTTGTCAGCAGTGGCCACATACCTACCCCATGCCTGGCACCAGGTTACACACAAGCAACAAACAGATAAATGCACCTTGCCATGTTCATTAGAGGGAGAATTTTCTAGACCCAAGTTTGCATCATGGTATTGCATCTCTCCCGATTCCTGCCAGTTCTGTTGGTAGGAGCTGTGAATGCTCCCCACCAATATTTTGGCTTTTCTCCTTTTATTTTCTAGGGCTTAGTATGTAACATGCATTCCCTGTAACCCCTGTATGATGCCCTGGCTAATCCTCTCTCCTGGTCTGTTTCCTATGTCATGGGGAAGTTTGGAAAGCATTTGTTAGTGTATCAAGAACAAGAGAGCATGGGAGTGTGCCCCCTTCTCCCGTGGCGATCAAATGGATATGCAGAGAGAGACTGGACTGCCCCTGTGTAAAGCCATTCCCTCCTGGGTGGTAGTTGTATGAGACGCTTCTCTGGTTTCCTGGTTTTGCTCCCCAACCTCATCACGTGTACTGAAAGGCATGTTCCCAGCCCTAGCCAGTTTGGCTCAGTGAATAGAGTGTCGGCCTATGGACTGAAGGGTCCCAGGTTCGATTCCGGTCAAGGGCAGGCTCAATCCCCAGTTGGAGACGATTCTCTCTCATCATTGATGTTTCTGTCTCTCTCTCCCTCTCCCTTACCCTCTGAAATCAATAAAAAGATATATTTTTTAAATATATTAAAAAACATTTTTAAAGGCATGGTGCCAAGCGAGACTCTCCTGCAGGCAGCTCTGCTGAAAATGGCCCGCTGTGCACATCACACCGCCCACCAAGCTGAGTCTCAGAAGAGCAGATTGCATGGGTGTAGTGGGTGGAGGTTTCCCTGCACCCCACCTCTCTGCCTGCACCCTCCTCCCCTGCGCCCTTTACTGCGGGAGTGTCGCTTCAGCCCCTTTAGTTCTGCTCAGTTATCCACTAGCCCCGCTGGCTGTGTGGTCAGTCCTTGATTGTGATTGGCACCAGGTCCTGTGCTTGCATGGTTTTAAATGTCTACATCTGGAAGGAGATTTTGTTCAGAGCAAGACAATAGAAAATTGCTACAGGCCACACGGGTTACACAATTTAGTGGGGCTTTTAAAGGAAGAGAGTCCTTTTGCAACTTTGAAAGGTGGGCAGTCCTGCCTGGGGATAGAGGACCGGGTATAAAATAGAGCAGGGGGGTCGTAACTTGGTGTGTGTATTTCAGATCGTGAGATTGCTGTTGGAACGCGGCTGCGACGTGAACCTAAGCGACAAGCAGGGCCGGACACCCCTCATGGTGGCCGCTTGCGAAGGGCACTTGAGCACCGTGGAATTTCTCCTTTCAAAAGGTAGCGGTACTGTCTGCCCCCATGGGTGTCTATTGGATGGACAGAGAAAAGAGCTTTGGCGGACTCGTTCAGTACTTCCTGATTCTAAGTTTAAGTCTTTCTGTTACCGAAATGTTCTAACTGAACAAGTGGAGAGAATAGGTAATGAAGCTGCATACCCGTCACTCAGCTTCAGGTGATAATCGGGTCCCCGAGTCAGCTTCTGGCCTCACAGCACCTGCGTCCGGGCTTTGTCTTGAGGAGTTCACGGTCTGTGATTGGGCTTTTTTCTTTCAGGTGCCGCCCTTTCTTCTCTGGACAAAGAGGGTTTGTCAGCATTAAGCTGGGCTTGTCTGAAAGGTCACAGGGCCGTGGTCCAGTTTCTGGTTGAGGACGGAGCCGAGATAGACCAGATGGACAAGAATGGCCGCACCCCCCTGGACCTGGCAGCCTTCTACGGCGACGCAGAGACCGTAGGTACCGCCGGTGGTCACATTGCTCGCCTGCCCTGCGTGCGGGGCTAGTGCCACAGAGAAACCAGGACCTGAACCACATCCAGAGAGCGCGTGCCTGAGTGTGGTTAGTGTGTGAGTGTGTGTGCACCTGGGTGTGGTTAGTGTGGTTTGTGTGTGTGTGTGAGTGTGTGTGCACCTGGGTGTGGTTAGTGTGGTTTGTGTGTGTGTGTGTGTGTGTGAGCGTGTGTGTGTGTGTGAGCATGTGTGTGTGAGTGTGTGTGTTGTATTATAGGATATTTTTGGTTTTAATTGTGTGACAATCTATTCCAGAATGTAGTAAAGATTTGAATAGACTCTGAAAGGCTTAAAAATACATGGTGACAAGCTGTATGTACAGTGGATCACATACACACACACGCATGTGTAGTTTAATTTTCTTATAGTAACCCGTATAAATAGAATTCTTATATAGATCATTTAAAAGTCACTTCTATGTATATGAGAAATTGCTAATCAAATAATTAGCTGGTTTGTTTTTAAAGCCAATATGGCATTGCCTAGAATGCTTTGAGTGCTATCTTTATCTCTTGACTGATGCTTAAGCCTAATTGAGATCTAGGGGGTAAACCTTAATAAACTAAGAGCTGAAAACTGTTTTTCAGGGTAGAAACCATGTCTTTGTCAGGATTCACATCTCTGGTCCCAGTAGGCACTAGAGAACTTCTCTGTTCTCTGTCAACTTTATTTCCATCCTAGGATCCCTAAGGGCCAGAGGCACCGACAATCAGTTCCTCTAGAGTTATCACTTTTGAGTATTTAATATGCCTGGTGTCAGGGTTACCTGGAGAGACAGGGTTACGTTGCTAGAAGCTGTGGACCTTGGGACAAACGCCATTGTCGCCTGCACATCTGGGCCTGATCCTTTTAAAAGGCAGTGTCATCAGCGTTAAATGGTCTCTGTGTCCCGAGCACTGTAAACTGTACTTAATACTGATTTTCAGAAATAGCTCTTTCACTGAGCCTCACCTATTACACTTTCACTTTTTATCTCGTACTGCCTTACCAAATCCTGCAGCTTACCAACAACAGGGAACAGTGAAGGAGTGTAGCATTCTAGTACCTTTTTTAAAACTGTGATGAGCGAAATAACGTAAAATGTTCCACCGGAGCCATTTCTAAGAGAAGAGTTCTTTGTGTGAAGTATACTCACCCTGCTGTGTAGCTGATGTCTAGACATTCTTACCTTGCAAAACTGAAACTCCCTCCCCATTAAACAACTCTCACTCCTCCCTGCCCTGGAAACCCCACTCCACATCCTGTCTCCCTGCGTGGGGCTGCTCGAGGCACTTTGTGAGTGGAATCTACAGCATTTGTCCTTTCCTGCCAGGCTTACTCCACTTCGCATAATGGCATAATGTCTTCGAGGTTTATCCATGTGGTAGCACGTGACAGGATTTTCTTCCTTTTTTAGGCTGAATAAACAGTCCATTGTGTATATGTACATTTTCCTTACCCATTCATCTACCTATGGGCGCTTAGGTTTTCTCCACCTCTTGGCAGTTGTGAATAGTGCTGTTATGAACAGGGACATGCAAGTATGTCTTTGAGATCCTACAAATTCTTTGAGATCTACACATATTCTTTTGGGTATAGATCCAGACGTGGGATTGCTGGATCTAATGGTGATTCTATTTTTAATTTTTTGAAGAACCTCCCTACTGTGTCCAGAGTGGCTGCACCATTTTCCATTCCCACCCACAAAGCACAGGGTTCCTATTTCTCCACATCCTCACCCACACTTACTGTTCTCTGTTTTAGTCGTTGTTTTTATGGTAGCCATGCTAACAATGTGAGGCTCATTGTGGTTTTGAATATTTGCATTTCCATAATGATTAGTGATGTTGAACATCTTTTCATATGCATATTGGCCATTTGTATATCATCTTTGATAAAACATCTGTTCAGACCCTTTGCCCATTTTTAAGTTGGGTTATTTGGGATTTGTTGTTGACTTATAGGTGTTCTTTATATATTCTGGATGTATATCCCTCTGTTGTCATTTAGAACAGCAGGCGGACTGGTAGGGTGTATCTATCAGATCCACATGAAACTGGCTACCGTCTTCTTACTGAGTAAGTGGAGCCATTTGAGTGGCCAAAGTGGTTTCTCCTGTTGTTCTCTATTTAGCCCAAGTGACAACTATTTTATCACATCAAACTGGTTGTTGTACCAGGGTCTCCAACTTGCCATCTTTATAGTCCCAATATTCAGGTCTCACTCCTAAGCCTTGAAGTGAGTTATAATCGGGTCCCTCTGATCCCAAGCTGCTCATCCAGCCAGCCTGTTCCCCGCTGTGTGGGTCTGAGTGTCTCTGAGGTGCCCGTGGCTGGAGCCCCCAGCATGCTGGAGCTGCTGCACGGGGCCTCCTAAGTGATTGGGGCCTTGCCTCATCTCTGTGGCCCGGGAGGGGGTGAGACAGACAGATGGTGATGTGTGCATGTACCGGCCGATGGTATGTGAGTGTGTGTACACACATGTCCCTCCCGGGGAGCCTCACTGCTGATTTCAAATTCACTTTAACAGAGCGGGTTCTAGGTATGGCTGCCACTGCTCTTCTCTGTTCTCTGTCAACTTTATTTCCATCCTAGGATCCCTAAGGGCCAGAGGCACCGACAATCAGGAGAAGCTCCTAAGCCAGGTGCCGCAGGTGGCCCAGGGACAGCGCCCCTGCCAGGAGCCGCCCCTCATGCCCCTGTCCCCCTGCAGGTGCTGTACCTGGTGGACAAGGGCGCTGTGATCGAGCACGTGGACCACAGCGGGATGCGTCCCTTGGACAGAGCCATTGGTTGTCGAAACACATCGGTAGTGGTCACGCTGCTGAGAAAAGGAGCCAAATTAGGTCAGTAAATGCCTCCGTTCAGCAGTGAGAGGAAGGCTGGCCTGCTCCCAGGGTTAGCTGTCAGGTGTTTGGCCCTGCCCAGCGTGGGTCAGGGGTTAGAGCATCAGCCTGAGTACCGAAGCGTCCCAGGTTCGATTCCCAGTCGAGACAGGGCCAAGAGCATGAGTGGTAGGAACAGGGCAGAGGGATACCGCTGAGGCATCTAGAGTGGAGGCTGCGGAGGAGCGCACGCAGACGCTAGAACATACACCTTCACCGCCAGTGGTCATGGGCACGGCTGGAAATGAAGGCGATTACTATGACGCCTTGTTTATTTTTACTCCGATGCCCATCGGAAGGGAGGGATGGGTTGTGACTGCTCTGCTGCACTAGTTTCCCAGTGCTTTCTCGCCAGAATAACAACAGTTTGTGCTCAGTACAGTTCCCCTCCCAAGGGCTTACTTAGTTCAGCAGCAGGTCAGCAGGGATCCTGTCCCTGTCCCGGGGTGTGCTGTCGTCTGGAGGCTGCGGGACACCAGCAGTGGTCCTTGCCACGGGGTCCCTGCTGTGGGTTCCCGCCATGTGTGGGCGCAGCTGGGCTGGGCCCTGGAAGATCTGCACTCCTTTCCTCCAAGGCCGCGGAGGCGCCTCTCACTGCATGTTTATTTTGCAGGAAATGCTGCGTGGGCGATGGCTACCTCCAAACCTGATATTTTGATTATACTTTTACAGAAATTGATGGAGGAAGGAAACGTGTTGTACAAAGTAAGTGGTGTTGCCCTTTTCTGCGGTGTTGCCATGGCCCGCGAGCAGCCTCTTAGTTTGGTGCATAACCGACGTGGCTGTGCAGCTGCACCGGGTCCACATAGTGTGGCTCCAATAGATGTTCCGAGAGAGGCCACTGGCCTCCTGCCCAGGCTGTCATATCCTGATGGCAGAGGCTTCAAGGTAGAAAGCACTTCTGTGTGAGAGCCATCATCTCTGAATGAGTCCCTGTGGCTGTAACCGCGGCCCAAAGCCTTGGTGTGAAGGCAGCGTGGCTCCTGATTTAACTAGCACGTCCTACAGAAGACTCCTCAGGGCATGGAGCCGGGAGATGCCGGAGAGGAGCACCCAAGAGACATTTTCGGAAAAGAGCAAGCCTTGCTTCTCTTATTTTAGTGTCTTTAAGCTTCTAGTGTTCTCAACCTGTGGGTCGCGACCCCTTTGGCGGTCGAATGACCCTTTCACAGGGGTCGCCTAAGACCATCCTGCATATCAGATATTTACATTACAATTCATAACAGTGGCAAAATTACAGTTATGAAGTAGCAACGAAAATAATTTTATGGTTGGGTCACAACATGAGGAAATGTATTTAAAGGGCCAGAAGGTTGAGAACCACTGTTCTAGAGTGTGAAACTGTTTCTAGAGATGTTTTCACTTAAGATGTTAAGTAATATATAACACTGAACCACGTGTTTCCCATTTCCCCTTAGAAATGGAAATTTGACGTTACAGTGAGTTTTCTAAAGTAAGACACCAGATTAGATCAAAAGCAAACTTTGGGAATGGCCAGATAGTAACGATGGGAGGCTTTGCTGTTCGGTCTGTGTCACACCCAGCTTCGGTGCTGTGTGGCCGAGGCAGCCACAGGTGATACGGAAGCCAAGAGCGTGGCTGCATCCCAGTCAAGCTGCGTTGGTGAAAATCGGCGGCGAGCCACCTTTGACCCGCAAGCTGTGTTTTGCCAACCCCTGGGTTAGTTAGATGCTTAGGCCACTTACATAGATCACTCTTCTTTCCTCGTCTGTGATTAGATAGAATTAAAAGATTCTAAAAACAAAAGCCTAGATTATGACCATTTTAATCCTTTTTACCAGGAGACGACAGCACTTGCAACCTTTGTAGTTTTTCCCCTTTCAGAATAATAACAAATAAATAGGCATGTCGCATGACCCAGCAGGGTTCCTGTCCTGGAATCAGTTTGAAATTGAGTTCAGAGTGTGTACTGTTGCGGCTCTGAAGTGGTTTTAATGTGAATTTTGGTCGGCAATTATGTCAGAAATACCAACCGTTTTCAGCAGGCCGCACACCTGCTGCGCGGAACCGGCTGAGCAGAGGAGATGGATTTCTTGAGCCTTGAAAATGACGCCTGGTGCTGTTCTGATTTTTAAAACCCATGCTTTCGTTCCTCTCAAAAGAAAAGATTATTATTCTACAGCAAGACTCTACTTGCCTTAGGAACCGCATTGTGTTTTCACTTGATTTCTGTTACGCTTAGCATTAAAATATCTCTATGAGATATAAAAAGAGAGACATTCACAAAAAGGTTTTCAAAAATATATAGCAGAAGATAATGTGCTGCGTTAAGATTGTTAGTTATCAGTTTGGCAGTTTACAGACGCCTTCCTGTGAAACCGGCTTCTGTCTCTCCTTGTGAGGTGCAGAGCCCAGCGGGCGGCGAAGCCACGTGTGTTCACGCTGGTTAGCGTCCGACTCGGGTTGCGGGGCTTTCTCTTCAGGACCCTTCCAGCGAGCCGGCGTGGTGTCGGCAGTGGGGGGCGAATCACCGCTGTAGGGTGTGGGAGCTTACCCATCCTGGAGCCTCGGGTACAGGATGACTGTCTGTGCTGCTTTGATCCTAGAAAGGGAAGATGAAGGAGGCAGCCCAGCGGTACCAGTACGCCTTACGGAAGTTCCCCCGAGAAGGATTCGGAGAGGACATGAGGCCATTCAATGAACTAAGAGTCTCTCTCTATCTCAATTTGTCCCGCTGCCGAAGAAAAACAAATGTAAGCTGTGCCCCTCATTCCAATCCTTTCACAATAGCCTGTTGTTGTAATGGGGAAGGCCAGCCCTTCCATAGACCCGGTCATGGAACCCCTATCAGAGCTGCGTGCACGTTGCTGCGAACCTGGCATATGGCCCGCTGTTCCTCTTGGATGACCGTCCTTTGATCGGTCTCACTGCCCACCTCTCACGGTGCGGACAGTGCACCTGGGTGAAGTTTCCTCTGCTTCAATGCAAACTGCTCCCCCTCACCATCCCTCCAGCCAAACGGGGCCAGCATAGCCAGAGTGGCCCATCCCCAGATTCAAATGGTAAAGTTCAACTCATCTGGATTGCAACCTGCCTGGAGCTTACTATGCTGGCTAAGAAGTTATGCCAGTAACTGCTTAAATCCTAAGAGATAGTAGCTACCTCAGTTAATTTGTAACTCACAGCTAGTAGATTTGTTTGAGCACTTCTCTCTTCTACTTCCTTTTTAACTTCACCCTCCCACCACCAAATCTTTTGACCTGTCTGCTTCTGGGCCCGCTGTTCTGCCTTCCGTCCTGTTAGCGTGGATGATGCGCCCAGGCCCCTCTGGGCTGACCCTCCCGTGTGCTGGGTCCATCTGCTCCCGCCTTCTGGTGCACTGCTTCTACCAGTTCTCTCTCCCGAATCATCTATTTTCGCTTCTCTACAGGATCCTCCTCTTAAGAATATTATTACGCTTTAACTATCTCCTAACTTTAAAAAGTAGAAAAACAAACGTGCCTTGCCCTTCATCTCTCTCCAGTTAAGTCCCAATTCTCTGTTAACCTTTAGAACGAAACTGTTAAACAGTTGCCTGTAATCATGTTTCAATGCTTCTTTTGACTCGTCTATTTAAATATCGACACCAGGACTTCGGCATGGCAGAAGAATTTGCTTCCAAGGCGCTCGAACTGAAACCCAAGTCCTATGAAGCCTTTTATGCCAGGGCGAGAGCAAAGAGAAACAGCAGGTACTGTCTGGGGTTAGATGTGTGACTACAGAAGCCTTCTTGTGCTTCTGCTGTCAGAGCTGCTGTTGACTTGGGGGGCTTCTGGCTCATAAGCCGTCCTGTGGGGCCACTCATCCCTTTTCATACTGAAGAGGTAGCTTCCAAGAGGCACCGGAGTAGGTATTAGCAATGGCACCTGACGCCTGAAGGACTATTCCTTCCCTCCACCCCAGCTGACACTCACTGAAACATGAAGGTCCTAGGTGCGTTGTATTATCACAAGTAAAACTGCCCACTAGAGACATAAAGTATGTGTGTGTGTGTGTGGGGAGAAGATCACTTTAAGAGGATTCTGACGGCCACTGACTTAGGCCTGTTCTCATTCCCGGCCCAGTGGTCTTTATAGAGGCAGCCGGGCCCGAGCCACACGGATCTGGCTTGCAATTAGCACCCCGCTGAGCTGAGTGACTCTAAGCTAGTTACATGGGTCCTGTCTACCAGTGAGGGTTCACACCTCTCATAGCCGAGCTGGGTTAGGAGCAGCTGCATTCAGAGCATGTGTTTGCACGGTGTGTGATGGTCCCTTCTGTCTCACATGAAGGCAGTTCACGGCCGCTCTGGCAGACCTGCGGGAGGCTGTGAAGCTCTGCCCCACCAACCAGGAGATCAGGAGGCTCCTGGCCCGCGTGGAGGAGGAGTGCAAGCAGCTCCAGAGGAGCCAGCAGCAAAAGCAGCAGTGCCCACCGCCCGCCCCTCCCACGGACTCGGATAACGAAGAGGAGACCCCAGCCCCGGCGCCCGGCGACCACCTTCACCTTGAGGAGGCTGCAGAGGACACTTCTCCTCAGGAAGGCTCCGTTTCCCTGACTCCCCGGCCCCACCCCTCTGCCCCGTCCCCCTCCATCTGGAA